GATCCACTTCAAGCAACAACCCCCCCCCCCCTCCACCGTCCGATCCATTTTGGATCTCACGCCGGAGAGTTTTGGGGTGGATCTCACGCCGGAGAGGGTGTCTTAGCTCCAAGTCCTCCACCGCCCAATGGGGGACTTTAGTATTTCTTTTTAATGCCGTACCAATAGGCATGAACCTTAGGTAAGCATGTGCTTACTTTGGACTGGACCCTCCTCATCCTCTGGGGGAGGTAGAGAGGGGGGGGGCGCATGGCCTCTATTTTTCAGGGGGGTTCGGGTACTGGTTGGGGGTCGGTTCTATGTGTACTGCATCCTCGAATTGTCCCCTCGCTATAGCTACTGTGGATTTTCAGTATACAGCTATCCTTACTCAAAGCGTCTATGTGTCCGGCAATCTCCAATACGAATAAACCTGTGAGGTTTCAGTATGCAGCTTTCGTCACTCAACGCGTCTATGTGTCCGACAATCTCCAATACAAATCAACCTGTGAGGTTTCAGTATGCAGCTGTCTTTACTCAATGCGTCTATGTGTCCGCAAACACCACTCAACCCGTGAGGTTTCAGTATGTGCCTTTCCTCACTCAAAGCGTCTATGTGTCCGGCACTATCCAACGTGACTCAGCTCGTGAGGTTTCAGTATGTAGCTATCCCGACGCAGCGCGTCTATATGTCTGGCAAACTCAAAAACCAATCCATCTGTGAGGTCTCAGTCTGCAGCTATCCTCACTCAAAGCGTCTATGTGTCCGACAATCTCCAACACAAATCACCTGTGAGGTTTCAGTATGTGCCTTTCCTCACTCAAAGCGTCAATGTGTCCGGCACTTTCCAACATCACTCAACTCGTGAGGGTTCAACACGTAGCTATCCCCACGCAGCGCGTCTATGCGTCCGACAATCTCCAAAACAATGCATCTGTGAGGTTTCAGTATGTGCCTTTCCTCACTCAAAGCGTCTATGTGTCTAGCACTATCCAACATCACTCAACTCGCGAGGTTTCAGTATGTAGCTATCCCCACGCAGCGCGTCTATATGTCTGGCAAACTCAAAAACCAATCCACCTGTGAGGTGTCAGTCTGCAGCTATCCTCACTTAACACGTCTATGTGTCCGACAATGTTGTTGTTGTTGTTGTTGTTGTTGTTGTCTTCACATTAAAAACCATCCCGGTCTCTCTATCCAGTACCTCCTTCTGTCTCAATCTCTCCGTACT